TAAGAAATAATATTTTGAAAACAATAATATTATAATACAATTAAGAGTAAATCCTCTAAGTTTAAAATTCAGTACACCAATAAAACGGCACACCAGATGTCAGAACAAACAAAGACACAGGTTAGAAGCACTCGTGAAATAGTCTTAAAAAGCGTTTAAAGGCCTTCTCAATCTGTATTGGTCAGGGTCTCTCTTGTTTGTTGTGATGTAGGACATTAATCTGCTCAATGAAATATTCATGAAGGTGGGCTCTGTGGTGGGGCTGAATCAGGCCCCAGTGGAGGCCTCTATACGAGGCTTCGCTCAAACAAGGACTACTTTCAGCGTCAGACGCATGCTCAAGCTTTTATATTGAACAACTCTCAGGGGAAGGGGGGGTGGTTTTTTTTTACATTGTTTTTACATTTTGATTATCTGCTCCTGACGCAAGCCTTAGCGGCATCAGGATTGGTCAAATGCAGAGGATGAATTGCCCTAGGGATCAATAAAGTGCACCTTTACCTTAACTTTTCATTTTCTTCTGGATTCTTCTTCTGATGTACTGGATTAATAAAGTACATCCACCTCTCCTGACAAAGAGTGCACTGAAGTAGTCTAGTCTAGAGGAGATAAAGGCATGGTCGGCACTAGATCATATACGGAATCGGGACGAAACCGGACGTAACAATCCTACTCTCAAATTAGTTTTAGACTAATTAATCCTTAAGTAGTGACTGGTTAAGTTTTAGGTGTCTGTGTAAGATGGTTAAGGTTAGGGTTAAGGGTAGGTTGGGGTTATTTTATGGGAATGGCTGGTTTAGGCATGAATAGGTAGTTTGTTATATTTACTTTCGTTTCCGTCCCCATTCCGTATATAAGATCTAGTGCTGACCATAAAGGCATGGTGTGACTCTTCCTAGTCAAAATAATGGGGCATTGTAATGCATGGGTGCCCAGAGCTTGACTGAGATGCCAGTCTGCAGATTTTGTAGTAACATTCTACTGTGCTATTCTGCCTGAACAGTAGAGGGTGGTGCTGTCACTCATAACCAATACTCAATTAGCATCAACACTTCATAGGTACATGTCATGGATGTATTGGTACATGTACTCACCAGGTTGCTATTGAATACAGTATATCCTTTTATTTAGTGTGTATATCAAGACAAACAAAATCACATATTTATTTATTGCATGGAAACAAAAAATGGTGATCAATTGTTATTCAAAATTGTGACTTTTGAAAAAAAGTTCTAAAAAAACTTTTTAGAATGTTCCCTCTTACACATCCCTCTTTTTAATGAGGATTTTAAAAGAGTATGTTATTAAATATAGTTTGTGTGTGCATGCGTGTGTGTGTGTGTGCTTTGTATGCTTTGTGTTTTCTGTTACCCCCAGTAAATGGGTTTGGCCGTGTGTCTTCTCTTAACATCTAAACTTGGTAATTTTTTCAACTGCAACCAGATGTGCATGACCTCGTACAGCTGAGCAGCTCTCCATGCGAGTGACCCATTTCCTACTAAGTCTTGTCTTTGGCAAGGCCTAAAACTGCAGAAGGCATCTCGTCCAATGTGTGCAAGGTAGCCTCATTTTGGAAGGTTAATGAGGGACTGGAAATAGGCCTATATTTAACATGGAGTTAGAAAACCACTCTAAAGCCCTTTGGCTGTCCCTGTGAATGGTCCCAAAAGAAAACGTGGCCTTTTTAGGCATGCGTTCTAAAGCACTTATTTTCCTGCCTGTTTTTTATGTATTTCAAAAAATGTTGTAAGTGGCTGGGTATAACCACTAACCTGTGGTTTCTGTTTTCATCTGCCACCTCTTGCATTTTAAAGCAGAACTTTGCAGACGTATTCAAGATCAACTATCAACAGCAGAAGTGCAGCTCACGTCATCCCCTTTCCAGGAAAAATCCGATTAGAGCCAACTCTACCATGCTTCATGGGCAGGGCAATAATTGGTCTTGATGTCTTTATCATAGTGTGATTAATCGCCATGTCTTCTGGTTAAAAGATGTAGTATCACTTTTTATCACAGCACGCAACTATGCAAGCTTCCCATAGTTGCGCGCTGAGGACAGCACAACCCGTAATGGCGTGATATATTGTATAATACACAGACCACCTTATGTATCAAATGGAGCGTTTCCACACATTGTCTGATATGACAGGAGTTTTCCCAGATTATGCCATTCATCCAATGTTAATTTCATGTAATCTGATTTGAGAGGAAGCAGATTTTAACTTGGCTCAAACCCAGCCATCTCCCTTAATTAACACAGGTCCTTCCCCTGCTTCCCGTTCACTGTGGTTCTACTTGTTGATTTTTGCGGAAGTGTAGGAAGCTGTCTGGTGTAAATCTTGGTGGTCTCATTGAGAGTGAAAAAATCTATAGAATTTACTGATATTTCACAGCAAAGTGAAGTGTCTTGGCTAATGAAAGTACAAAACAATAGTTTACATAGGGTGTAGGGGTGTCACTGTATGAAAATTTAACCTCACTGTTATTGTGACCAAAATGATCCCGGTTTCTGATATTATTGCGGTGCTCTTTTTTTTTAAGTTCAGCAAATATGTTCAGAAAGAATTGATAGTCCTATACAAAATGAAAAAGTTTTAAATAAGTGAACAAATGTTAGCTGCAAGTAACATTTGGTTGATTACATCTACGTAATTATAATACACGTAGTGAATGTTTCTAAAATGGTTAAATCAAACTAAGTGTGTATTGTTGTGTCTTTCTTTCACCGTCTCATCTATAACTGTTTAGCTTACCATATTAGCTGCTAACAGGGAGCTAGATGCACGGATAATCAGACAAATCGTTGCTTTCTCCCTCAAGCCCCCCAGCTGTTTCAGCTAAAACGCTAACGTTATCTTACCTAGCATTGGCTATAGAGTTGTGAGTGATGCTCAGGCAGATGAGCCATGAGGTTTGAAGTGTTGCTGCTTTAAGCGGGAACTTTTTTGTGCACGTTCTGCAGACAGAATAGCAGTCTTCCATCAGATGTCCCTCGGCATTCTTTAAAAATCCAAAACATGCCGACACTTCAGACTTACGCGGGCGCTGTAATCCACCAAAACTACGTTAAGTTAAGATGGTAAATGTTATAGTCAAAAAAAACATCCGTTTTTACTGCTTATCGTGAACAACAGACCCAGGGGTCTCCCATCACAGTACTAACCAGGCCCTGCACTGTTTAGCTCTTCAGGTCACACGCTGACAGCGCCACAATAGGCATGTATGCAACTTTTGCTGTGTTGTGTTTCCAACAAATCTATTATGGCAACTTACAAATTGGTCAATCCAACCAATATTGGTTTAACAAATTAAATCGGTTGGCCGAAAATCAATAGATTACATTGATTACATTCCTGACCAATATATTGATTTAATTTAACCAATATTGGCTCACTATTTAGATTGCTGGATTTTTCTGTTTTTAGAATGTAAAGCTAAGTATATATTGTGCAAAGATGATCATGATTTTAATGATAGCGATGGTGATTTTACATTTAGTCCAATATTCCCACTGTATCATCATTATTGATAAATGCATGATCTAAGTTTCACTCTGTTGTGGTAGTCGGATGGCTTGTATTGATTCAGCTGCATACAGTGCATATAAATGGTCACCTTAATTTCATTAACACATTCTTTATTTATGTTTTTCCCAATCATATTATTCATTTGAGCCCACCACCCACTAATGTCTGCTGTCGTTGTGTAGTTGGGCAAGACACTTAACAGATTCAGATTCATTTATTTGCCATTTGCAGTAAAACCACATTGGAAAAACTGTGCAAGACTACCCCGGTGTGCACCAACGACACACACCAGAGCTCTTGCCACGGCGCCATCTTTACGGCGCCATGCGACACACATTAACCCCACATTGCCTGAAGAGCCCGCTGAAACACCAAGGCAATGGCACCACTAATGTAGCAGCCCTCTTCCTGTGGACTCACCACCTGCAGAGGATCAGCGAGGGGCCGGTTCTTTGAACATTGGGTGGCAGCTTTCCTTGTCACCCCCCTGACCCAGAAATTGACTAATAAAGGGGTAGAAAATGAATGAATGAATGAATATTTTTTATTTTATTTGCAACCTAAAATGGACACGGACATTCAAATGAGGTGGAGTTCTCATGACCCCAATTATTTGTTCTTTATATTTCTCCTAATTTTTTCCATTGTAAAATACAAGTGCTTTACTCAGGTCCTTGAATGTTAAGTATTATGCTTTAGCTGTCATTGTCAACTGGCTGTCACTGTATACAAAGGTATATTCTCATATGAAATACCATATCATATTGATCCAAATAACAAATATAATGAAGTTTAGCTTCAGTACCTTGGAGAGCAACTTCACTGATGGTCAGTTTTGTTCTATCACATCATTAAATTGAAAATACTTTATGTGGAATTTAGTGTTTGTGGAATTATCAGGAGAAAGATAGAGCTGAATGACAGACTCTCACGGAGAGATTTGCATTCTCATCTACTTACTTCCCTCTAATTTGTTTGTGCTATTGCGAGTCATTAGTGATGGTTAGCCCAGGCCACTGTATTTTTACTCCCCCTCACTTATTATTAGTATTAGTATTATTATTATTCAACATAAGCGTCGCTGCATCCTTTGTTTTTCCCCCAAAACAGTCCTCCTTCCCTCGTCTATCTGTCCTTTTTTCGGCCAGTGACCTTGAGTAAAGAGGAGAGTTGCTCTTTATTGATTCAGAGATGGGCAGAGGGAGGTGGACACGCCCAAGCTACAGAGTTGAATGACGCCCGTCTGTTGCTTCTGGTGCTTACCCAGTGCCAGCGCGCAATGGGCGGGTGGAAGCCGTGTTTATAAACCCAGATATTTCTGTGGGCGGGAGCAGCAACAGTCTAGAGTGAAAGTGGAGAAAAGAGTGAGATAGTGTGCGGCTGTGGAGAGACAAGGCTGTGGCGGCCGTTGTGGTAGAGCGGGGACCACGGAGGGGCCGAGGAGGCCACCCCTGTGTGCGTCTTTATCCGCGCATGGACGACCACTTCAGCCTCCTTCAATCACCCGCTCAGAGCGCCAACAAAATCCCGGCTGACAATCTGGTGAACCACGGGTACACAGACACGGAGGCAGACGTAATGACTGTGGTGGCGTGTGACAACATGCTGGAGGAGTCGGCGGCCCTTCCGGGCCACCTCTCACTGGACCGATACGAGCCGGACCATGAGTGCTGTGAGAGGGTGGTCATTAACATCTCCGGCTTACGCTTTGAGACGCAGCTCAAGACCCTCTCCCAGTTCCCTGAGACTCTGCTGGGTGACCCTAAGAAGAGGATGAGATACTTCGACCCACTGAGGAACGAATACTTCTTTGACCGAAACCGACCGAGTTTTGATGCCATCCTCTACTACTATCAGTCAGGAGGGCGCATCAGGAGACCTGTCAATGTGCCCATTGACATTTTCTCTGAGGAGATCCGCTTCTACGAGCTAGGAGAGGAGGCCATGGAAAAGTTTAGGGAGGATGAAGGTTTTATAAAAGAAGAAGAGCGCCCATTACCCGAGAATGAGTTTCAGAGACAGGTGTGGCTCCTGTTTGAATACCCGGAGAGCTCAGGGCCAGCGCGGGGCATCGCTATAGTGTCAGTTCTGGTCATTCTCATCTCTATTGTGATTTTTTGTTTGGAAACATTGCCAGAGTTTAGAGACGAAAACAGAGACCCAATAGCCATCGCGCCTGTCATTAATGGCACTCTCCCTTTCCTCGTAAGCCCCTTTTCAGACCCGTTTTTTGTGGTTGAGACGCTCTGTATTATTTGGTTTTCATTTGAATTGCTCGTACGTTTCTTTGCGTGCCCCAGCAAAGCCACGTTTTCAAAGAACATCATGAACATTATTGATATAGTGGCAATTATACCGTACTTCATAACTTTGGGCACAGAGCTGGCGGAGAGGCAGGGGAATGGACAACAGGCCATGTCATTAGCTATTCTGCGCGTTATTAGGCTCGTGCGAGTGTTCCGGATCTTCAAACTCTCACGTCATTCTAAGGGGCTCCAGATTTTGGGTCAGACACTGAAAGCTAGTATGCGGGAGCTGGGTCTGCTCATCTTCTTTTTGTTCATCGGTGTCATCCTCTTCTCCAGTGCTGTTTACTTTGCTGAGGCAGATGACCCGGCCTCAGGGTTTAGCAGCATCCCGGACGCGTTCTGGTGGGCTGTGGTTACTATGACTACAGTGGGGTATGGGGACATGCATCCGGTCACTATTGGGGGCAAGATCGTGGGCTCGTTGTGTGCCATCGCCGGTGTGTTGACAATTGCGCTTCCTGTTCCAGTCATTGTTTCAAACTTCAATTACTTCTACCATCGTGAGACGGACGGAGAGGAACAGGCTCAGTATTTGCACGTGGGCAGCTGTCAGCCGCTCGCAGACGCAGAGGAGCTGAGGAAGACGCGCTCTTCTTCTTCACTGAGCAAAAGCGAGTACATGGTCATAGAGGAGCACGGAATAAACAGTGCGTTTAAACAGCAACCCAACTTCCCGACAACTACAACGACGACGACTCAGAACAACTCGCAGAACTGTGTGAATATTAACAAAAAAATCTTCACCGACGTGTAGCTTTTATTGTCACTGTGTCCAAACGGTGTCCACGAGGACGTCGCCACGCACCAGTGCGTGCAGCCGCGCTACCACGGATGAGAGAAAAAGCGATGGCTTTACGCACAGGGATTTTCAAAACTATATGTAGCCTATATCCACAGCCAAATTGTTTACGGAGACGAGTCTAAGGATCGAGCATGTGGCGTGAAACAGGTGGAACAAAAGCTTTATAAACATAGCGATGTAAAGAGTAACGACAAACAAAGTGTACGCTACATGCGTTGTGTTCCGTAACAGCCCGTGTTGAATAGCCAGCCGCTGAGTGATGTGCGTATGTAATTAGGAAAGCACATTTAGCGTGTATTATCTCAACTAGGCCGTTCTATGTTATGCCTTTATTGTGCGTAAACGTCTTGTCCAAATGACACTGTTGTTGCACATAACTCCTAATGTAAACTGTTGGGTGTTGTGCCTACACACAAAGACAGTTGCGTCTTTCACGATGCGAGTCACGTGGTCATCATCTGTTTGATGCTCAGCTCTAAAGCCCGCTGGGTCTCCATGGAAACGACTGAGTAACCCCGGCCACCGTTGCTATAGCATCCTTGTTTCCACAGTAACCTTCATGGCGAGGATGCTAAGTTGGAATAACGTATAACAACATTAATATCGTCCCAGTTAAAAGAACTCAAACACAAATACAACTCAATCTGTCGTTGTTTACAACATCTGCTGCCCCTGGGAATCGTAGTAAAAGAAACGTGGAAAAGCACAGCATCGGGAATTATCAATGGAAGTGCAGCACCACTCTGGATGCCCGCTAGAGGCCGCTCTATCCCCATGAATCTCGTAAGTAGTAAGCTGGCGCCCTGGCATTCTGTCTTGATCGTAAACAAGTTTTACAGTTATTAACTGGTTTATTGTCTTGTAAATATGACAAATCCACTTTATATACCGTTTTCTTATCCAGAGTGTGGGCCTAAAAAAAACAAACTAGCCTACTTTGTTGATAGTTCAAATTTAACAAATACAAAAGGAAAATGAATACATTGTAAGATATGATTTAATTTCATCATGACAAAACTGTTGATGTTCAGAGTGCTATATATTATTTCATTGAGTTACTAAAAATGCCATTATAGGAATATAATATTAGTAACATTAAAAGTTTAGAGTAACATGGTCAACACTGGTGACCTCTGTCTGAAGTCCGTGGCCTGAACCTAACTTGTTATACATGTTTTACACCTGTCAACTATATTCTGTAGATTAAAGACTAAATCAGAAGGACAAGGTCCGATATGCATTTGAAACCAGTTTGCTGCTTTAAAACTCATTTCCATGTAGATTTACAGTATAATGTCTGCTTCATTCATGTGAAATATTTAATTGAAACGGGCTGCCCAGCGATTGGGAAATAAAAAGGGTATATATAACTTATAAATCAAATGGATCTAATCATGTTTATTACACAGTGTTTCCCTGCACGTATGTTGTGTCAGGTTATTACACTCCACCATGGTTCAATGATTATTAGACCTTTTCATTACATCTAAAGTGGGAGGGTCAGTTGTTTTTATCTGTAACTATGGCTTGCTCTTCTGACCCTTCACATTGATAAATATATGTATAGTAAAAAAGGCAAATATGTATTACTCCTATAGAAACTATCATTCTTAATCCCATTGAGCAGTCCTGTAAGACTGGAGCCAAATGAATCATGTTTGAACTATAGTTTAGAACGTTTTAAAAACTTTAGAAGTTTAGAGAGTGTAAAGGAAACCTAAGCAACATATTGAGATTTGGGTATTTTTAAATTCAATATAGCAAAAGTTCAATATATAAGCATGAAATAAATAAATAAAATTGCATTCTTCCCTTTCAAATAAAGTAAAGTAAACTAATAGCATAACAATATTTCTAGTTACTATTATGTGACACTTTCAAATCATTAAATAGGTATATTTGGTTTTGAATCGGTGGGTTTGATTCTGATACTCATCGATACAAAATGATTAAATTAAATAAATACTGCATTTTCTTCTCATCCGGGGCTGGATAGAGAGAGGGCTTAGCATGTCCATATTTCCCTCTCCCGTAGGAATTCCAGCTCATGTGGGGAATCCAATTAATTGTAATTAATACATATAAAGGTATTGTTTTAAATGCATTGGCCTGAAATATTCAAGTGAACCTAATTTGTTTAAATATATAGACCCAGAAGAATTCCCAATTTTTATGTGATTGAAACTAATTCATAGTTTGAATGCTTATTAAGTGACATTGGATCAAACTTGTGGTGTTTTTTTTTTTTTCCAGAATCCTTCCATTAAAGCTCAGACCTTCAGGAATCCCAACTGGTTAGGGATCCACCTGTACGAATCTCATCTGAGTAAGTTACAAAAACATAATCCGGTGTATTGCTCATTATACTGACCTGTTGTGACATTTCAGGGATGCTGGGTGATCTTCCAAAGGCTCTAAACTGTTGTCCTCCAGCTGAAAATGAATTATGCGATGCCCAACAGATCTTCTTCATGTCAAAGGGCTCAACATGGGCATAAAACCTGTGCAGTATATGTCAGAATTACCAAAAAATCCCTCTGCTGTAATTTGAGTAACCACTTCAGAAAAAATGTTATAGATTTATGCTGTGTTTTTAGACTGTTTGGAAATGTTTTGCAAGCACTTCATTGTCGTACTCAATGTAATGGGGATCAAAACCTTGAGAGTCACCTGTTTGCTTTGAATCAAAAGTTGAGGACAATACTGTGATACCAATGAAAGACTGTTAACCTTATGCCTTTGTGAGGTATGTGCTCTGTGGTAAATCACCTGTGACCTAAAGAACAATACAACAAAATGCAATTCGCTTTGTATTTGTGTGTCATGTTTGTATAAATGGCTATGTCCCAGGGTGCACATGTATTTTCAGTTGCAGGAATGGCCTTGTATGTCCGTATTTCTCCACTGTAACACCTCAACATGACCAGTAAATGCAAACTGCGCTTATTTATCAATCAATCAAAATCAAATTTTATTTATAGAGCCCTTTACAACACTCAAGGTGACCAAAGTGCTTTACAATAAAATCACATAAAATGCATTAAAAACATTAATTCAAACAAAAATAAAAATAAAACAGTAAGATAAAAAAGTGTTGCCGTGCTACTGAATGTTAAAAGCCAGTCTGAATAAATGTGTCTTGAGCCTGGATTTAAAAAGGCCAAGATCAGTGATGGTGCGCATTTCAGGGGGCAGCTTATTCCAGAGTCTGGGTCCAGCGACTGAAAAGGACCGATCACCCCAACGCTTGGACCTGGTCCTAGGCACTTCCAGCAAGAGCTGATTTGACGACCTCAAGGACCTGCCCGAGTCACGAATAGTCAAAAGTTCAGACAGGTATGAAGGGGCAGGACCATTGAGGGCTTTAAAAACAAAAAGAAGAATTTTAAAATCAACTCTAAAAGAAACTGGAAGCCAATGTAAAGAAAAAAGGACTGGGGTGATGTGCTGACGTCTGGGAGTGTTTATCATTATACAAGTGAACTACTGTGACCTATTGTAGGAATACTAATCTAATCTAATCCAAAACAAACAGCAAACCAGGCTTTGGGTAAAGTGTGACCATGTTAAACAGTAATCACAATGTAGATTCCCTATATTCAGACGACTCTCTGATCCATTGAGTTGTGTTTGGACCCTGTGGAAAACTTAATTCGGTCCGACTGCCAGCAGGGTAAATATTAACATTCTCAGTGAGGTTTACTGCTGCTGCGCTGTCGGCTGTGTACGAGTATTTGTATTTTATTACCTCGGTGACCCCACAGCTTACTTCATAATTCTGGCTGTTGTATCATATTCATCATAACTGTCACATTGGCAATATTATTTCATGATATATACACACATTATAAGCATAAGGAACATTTTAAATTAAACTACAAGTATTTTTTTATTTTATACTTTTTATTTAGGAACAACGTCAACAAAAATGTTCATAAACTTGCCTTGTCTTGTACAACAATTTGGAAATATGCAATGCTGTGTGTGTGTGTGTGTGCGTGTGGCTGCTTTAGAAATCATTGAAATACAGCACCTATGATGTCACTACCATTTCCCATCAGCCATTGAGCCATTTTGTTGCTATGGAAGGAATCTCCATAGCAACACAAGAGGGTTGTAGGAGGGGGAAAGTGAATGTCTTTACGGCCCAACATCACGGTCACCTTCAGAAGACAGGAGCTCAGGCGGAGGCTGGGTTTCCTAGTGGAGATATATGTGTGATATTGGCCTGTCTGCTCGTCACGCTGATGAATCTACCCACATGGTGTGTGCACGTGTGCAACAGACAGACGGGGAATCACCAGGGTCTCAAGCCATTTGGATAGGAGGCCTTTGCTGAATGCCAATAACTGCATTGATGATAAAATATCAACAGCAAATGGCTGTGTGAATCCTTTTTTTGTTGATTAAAAATTGTTTTTTACTGCTCGAATGAACCAGATTTGAAGTTTGCTCCCCCAAATTCTCCATAGCATGTATTTCCCTTTTTACGTCCATGACAGTTTGGAGTCTTCTGTGGTAGTTGTGGAGGAGGTTCTTTATCTTCTCTGATGGTAAAGCTGCCCACTCTTCTTGTTCATGTAAATTCCTGGGCCGCCTTACATGAAATGCACATATAAATATGTCAAATGAAAATATTATACATATATATATATATATATATATATATATATATATATATATATATATATATATATGTATATATAAGTATAGTTCATGTTTTCCTAAATATGACCAAAACAATGTGTGTAATCCGTTAAGCACAACTGTATCTTAACAATAATAATAATGTAAACAATGATTTGATCGATATCGATATATTTCTAAACTACCACAACAATAATGCTGTCATATAAACAATCACCTGGAGGCATGTTTATGTTGGCCTGTTTCTCTGTGCACATGTTGATATTCTGCACACAGCCACTGGGAGATCCGGTTGCTGTGGGTGATGATGCTGTTGCTAGAGGATCTTCAAAAATCGGATTACTCCTGAATGCTGATTGGCTGATCAGGAGGCAGTAGTCAAGGTGAATATCCTGACTTGTACATAATGTTCTACTATTGATCAACACCATTGATCATCTGGTACTCACCCGTACTGAATGAATGTACTGTTCACTGGCTTTTTGTCGTTACAACTCATTATAGCTATCTTTTGTGCATTCTTAAAATTTGAATCCTTTTGAGCCAGCAAATTGGCTCAAAAGCAGTGATGTTTCTCCTGTATTAGAGAATATTCTGCTGCTATTTATTTTATTGCTGTCAAAACAAGTGCTCAAAGGAAGAAGACTTGGTTTGGCGACAGCAGATTGAGAGATACAGCGGTCCACCGGGCTGGATGACTCATCACATTGTCACGGTGACCTTTATCTCTTTAGTATAATCTATGTTGTGTAGTTTTTCTTCTTTGCACCGGTCAAAGTTACACAATCTCCTCATGGACATTGCCACAACAAACTTTTGCTACCGACGCAGTTAATACAACATGTCATTAGCTTGTATATGTTTGGAAATGCTTTTGAAAATGCAGAAAAGCTTTGACAAGACAATTAATAAAATGTGTGATTATGCATCTCATGTCTGGTAGTATATAAAAACTGAACATGCAAGGTTTCCCTTTGCTGTCAAGCCACATCTCCTGTTGACTTCAGTTATTGATTTATCTCTTTTCTTGATCAATGGCAGTGAAATCAACAAAAAGTAAATCCACCAATCAATTCTGGGGAAGGTGCTGCCAAGTAAGGGTTGGGAAATTCAAAGATGTATCGTAATGATAATATTTCTTCAATGTTCTTCAGAGAACAAGGTCACACAGGGAAGACTAAATGGAAATGGCTTTTTATGACGAAATGGGTTAAATATGGGACAAATAATACGTTTAATTTAAGATGTAACAGATGGAGAATTAGAAGTGTAAGTATAAGTCAACGTATGAGTAACAGCACATGAATCTAAATTTAGAAGTTGCACAGATTAAGAAGTTGAGTTTTTATCTATGAGTCTCATTATTGCCCAAAATTACATTCAGGAAAACCGGACAAATGATTTTCTGTGAAGTATTAGATTTTTGTTGTTTGAAGAATGGGCCATAGTTGAAATACTGACACAAGCCTGCAAGGAACATTTAGGCAGTTACCAGATTCATTTGACAGCACATCTCACACATCATGGCACAACAACGAGCTGTGGTTTATTTAAAAACATCCACTTTAAAGCAACAGAAAGTTATTATGTTTTTAAAGTCTGTATCCATGAATATATTTTATTATGGACTATAGAATGAAATGTATGTATTGATTCTATGGTTAACGTTGACAAATATGATTTAAGTTAGTGATTCCATATGATGTGAATGAGAGGTGTGGATGCTGTATGTATGTGTGTGTGTGTTGGGGGTTCATTACATGCTATATAAGCTATTTAATGATATATATAATCATTATATGCTATACAATGAACCCCCATAATACATTCTTATTGTTGTGATTTCATTACATGTTATTGTATTGTTTTTTTCATGTCCCCAGTTACTGCAGATGACATAAACATACTATTTGTCTCTGAGCTAAAAAATGTGGCTCTGCACTGTCCCTTTCAAAAAAATTCAACTAAATGAGTATTAGTTATGCTACAAGGTTCTGTATTAAACATATGTTATCAGTAATATTTGATCATATATAATCTCATAAATTTTCTTAGTCACCAATGGATTATCTTGACATCATACCTGAGCAGGTGAGCAGCCGGCACATTACACGAAGTTTTTGTATTGAAATAAGCTTTATTGCATCAGTAGTCTCCTTCTGCATCATGAGCAGAGGTCGTCTAGGACAGCGCTCCTCCTGCTGTCTCTGTCACAAGCTGCACCATCCCCTTGTCTCTCCTTCCTCTCTCCCTTTCATGTTGTTTGCAGAGAAAGGGTGGAGACTTTTACGTGAGCGATGGATCTGCTGACTCACACGCTCACAGTGAAAAAGGACAGAAGATTCTTAGATCTAAAAGGCACACATATTTCAGCTCTCATATTTTCATATACGGCATGTACAATATAAATACTCTTTGTTATCAGGAAGGGCATATAGAATAGAGCTATAAGCCAAAGTTAGGTGCACAATCTTGAGCAACATGTGATATAATAATACACTGTCGTTTTAATGAAGCTCTTCAGAAAGTCAATGATATTTCAATCAATAAAAAGTGCAAACAACAAACCTATACAGTACATCAACAAGGCACTTATAAAGTCACCCCGGTCATTACTTGGAAAGTACTCTTGAGTTTCGCTGCGCGGTTCCATCTGGTCTGTCTGGATGAAAAGAAGACAGAATCAATGCTCCCAATGTGAGCAGACTTGGCCCAGCCTGAAGGTGAGAGCGAGTATGAGGCTGACGAGATTAACAGGCCCCAAAACAGTTAGCCATTTCAGATAGAATCCAAAGAAACAAAAGTTATTGTATAACTTTAGAGGCTTACATGACTTAAAATCAACAGTATATGATAAAATTATGTTTTCACTCCCCAATCATGCTGACTTTGGTTGAGAGGTTGTAACAAAAGATGCTGTGTGGAAGTTTTACAATAGAAGATATTTTGTTTCTAAAACTAAACTAATGGGCTTTAACACTGGAGCTTGTTGTGGTGCCACCTGCATGTGAATGCGTCTTTGTCAGTTTGCCCAAGGGCAGCTTTGTCTACAGTATTATTTTAAGAATTAAAGAATAATGTCATGTGAAGTGTCTTTGAGTGTTCAAAATGGTGCTAAAACCAATGCATTATTATTATCAATTTCAGTTCAGTTCATTTACCATTTGCAGTTTAAAACCTTTTTAGAATAATTGTGCAAAATACTCACAGTGAAGATAATCAGAAAATAGACAAATAAAACCAAGTCACAGAAGACAAACAAAAATAACACATTTAAATGTTCTATAGATCCACTTTCAAAGTGCATTGTAATCAAGCAACATCTTCTGGACGAATAAAGCTGGAAACTACTTTGCCAGGGTGATTAAAGTGTCTACGTTCCTGAAGAGCCTAAAAAACCCGCTCCTTTAGCAGAGCAGACCACCACTAGTTAGGTTAGCGCTCTCATCTCTCAGGTGGTGATAGTACCAAGCCACACAGTACGAGAACCAACGACTTTCTTTGGTACAGCAATAAATGTTAAGCAAGAGCTATTTCTTTCTCTGCTGTTTGATAAAAGGCCAATGATGGTAATTCACAGCATACACAGACCAATGGGTTGTTCCCGGCTGCCCATCAGCATGTAAAACTATCAATACCTTTCCTTTGGGACCTTCAACTTGCTCCCCACCCCCACTCCATCCCACACATAACAGGGAGGGGCGTCATACTGTCCCCTGGTACCATGTCATCATCTTCATCAGTACTTTGACACTTTGATTGTCTGAGCACAGTCCATAATGTTGAACCTGTCCTTGAAGAAGCAAGTGGAAAGCATTGATAGGACACTTACATCACTGCTGTTTCCCCATGGGATGCTATACTCACGGCGTCTTTATATTTGGATTCAAAAATAGATTAAAGACTATCACCATCACTGTGATAATGATAACAATTCAATGTTGTTACAATTGGCGTTTGTGACTTTGAATGCCGGGCTTGCTCATTTGCTCTCCTATTTGAAAGGAGAGCAATTATACAAACATGCTTTGTAGCCTGTGTAATCGCTGCATTTTAGCCTTGATGTAGAACTAAGCTTTTTATGTCTGTGTTCTGACAGATACAACAGAAAAAGTAAAAATAACCCACAGTTTCAAAAATAGCTGTGACCCAATTGATTGTGTTTCTCCGAGAATATGACACGCACCTACACTTGAACAGTGGAAACACTTCGGTGTGTTGTGGATCCTGGAGTCTTGTGCTTGATCCATGCCCGTATGCGGCCACATGGCGCTTCCCCTTTAATGTTTCTCACAGAGGGCAGTGGAGAGAGGCTGAGCTGGAGGAGGACGGGGCGAGGCGCACAAGCTCTTAGTATGCGCTGCGATGTCCAGATGCAGCCACCGCGCATCACTTGGAGCAGGAACATGAGACGTGGAGAGCCGGCACCTCCACAGCAGCCGGTCGTCATGAGATGTCACAACCGCCGCATATTTTGTTGAAATGAGATTTGATGGATTAGACTGACAACCTCAAGGCGCTTTTAAAGGACTAGTGCGTACCAAGAGAAACAGGGTGAATTCCTGCATGCCACTATCTGAAATAAATCCCAACTCTCCACTTAATGCTATGCTGCTTTGTTTAGTGCATGGAGACTGTTATGATGCACACAGAAGATGATTGCAAATGGCTTGAGCATGTATGGCGTCTGCCACTTCTAACTAACTCACTATCAAGTAACACTGCAGTGAATGTTTTTGAATCCGCGTGCATGCTCCTCGTTGCGATACTCTAGTACTCTGAGTACTCTGCCCTGACAGGCTCCGTGCGAGTCCGGCCATCTGAACGCCATCTGAACACTTGTTCCATGGAATGGGCTGTGAATATACGCCATTTGTTGCACTTCTTTAGTGCGTTCACGTGGATTTTTCCAATCAGAAAGAAACATGATACTGTATTATAGATACTGTGTTGGTCACAACCAACAGAAACATGTTTCCTTGTTGGTGATCAAACAGGTGATTTGAAGCATGCCACAATTTGACATTAGCGCCTCTAGAAACACAACTTCCTTTTCATAATTCTGCATCATTGAATGGGAGGAGGCTCCATTTTTCGGGCTGTTGCACGCTGCTGTCACTGTATGCAAATGGTAACATCTTCGCCCATCACCGAGCTGTAGCACACTGCTGTCTGCGCATCGACATGTCGGGAGCTCTCGTGGCTTCGTGCTCACGCTTGTCCCTTCTCCCACTCCCACACTGCTGTCGCGCCGCTGCAGATCCGGATGGACCGCGGATCACTGTGGGCTGGTACATGACCGTCAGAGAGGACTCCACAGGGCCCCCACAGAGCTACAGCATCACTGGGGCGTTAGGAGAAGGCGGACTGTAAACAAGCGTCTCAAGTTTCAATAGCCATAGGTAGGATCTATTTGGATTTCACTAGCAAATGCCCATTTCTTTACAAGCTCCTTCAAGTCCCTCATTAGGAGTCGATAGAATGAAACTAACTTGAAACTTGATCTGACCTAACCTCAGGCTTCTGTCGTAATTGTTATTGCACAGGATCGTATGTGTGTGTGTATATAAATATATGTATTTATCATTTTAGTGTGGATTTCATTGCACACTTTATGTGCAACACTCATAAAAAGTTAAAATGTGTGATACATATATAATATTTTTGAGACTTTAGAGGAATGGTACAGAGAGAGTTGATATGATACTAGAGCTTATTGATCTACATTTGGAGAGAGCGTGTGCTTAAAACAAATAGACTTAATGGAGCCAAAGATATAAAAGGTTCAACTCCCTCAAGCATAATGAGACTGCCCCGCCTAACTGTTAGGAGAACGATGAGACACTTCATGACATTAAAATGTTTTTTGTCTTCCAGCTCCAAATCTTCTCCCAGTGGATCAAGTTTCCAGAGCATCTGTCTGGCCGTGTGGCCTCCACCCGGTGTGAAAGCTGCAGGCCCCGTTCGAAATGACAGTTGCCACAAGTGATCCGGCAGATGAGGCTGCCGCTCACCCTGGTCAGCCACTGGACCAGTATGACCCTGAGCCGGACCATGAGTGCTGTGAGAGGGTGGTCATTAACATCTCCGGCTTACGCTTTGAGACGCAGCTCAAGACCCTCTCCCAGTTCCCTGAGACTCTGCTGGGTGACCCTAAGAAGAGGATGAGATACTTCGACCCACTGAGGAACGAATACTTCTTTGACCGAAACCGACCGAGTTTTGATGCCATCCTCTACTACTACCAGTCAGGAGGGCGGCTTCGTCGGCCTGTCAATGTTACTCTTGACATTTTCTCTGAGGAGATTCGCTTTTATGAGTTGGGTGAGGAGGCCATGGAGATCTTCAGAGAAGATGAGGGATTTATAAAAGAAGAAGAGCGACCATTACCAGAGAATGAGTTTCAGAGACAAGTGTGGCTTCTTTTTGAATATCCAGAGAGCTCAGGACCAGCTCGTATTATTGCCATTATTTCAGTGATGGTCATTCTCATTTCTATTGTTAGCTTCTGTTTAGAAACATTGCCAGTTTTTCGAAAAGACGAAGAGGAAATGTATAACTTCTTTCCCTCAATGTCAAACGCCACCTACACTTACACCTCCACATATTTCACAGACCCCTTCTTTATTGTAGAAACACTCTGTATCATTTGGTTTTCTTTTGAGTTTCTTGTGAGGTTCTTTGCTTGTCCTAGCAAAGCTGGTTTTTTTGGAAACATTATGAACATCATTGACGTTGTTGCCATTATTCCTTACTTTATAACCCTTGGTACAGAGCTGGCTGAGAGGCCAGAGGACAGGGAGGCAGGACAGCAAGCAATGTCTTTGGCAATCCTCAGAGTAATTCGTCTTGTGCGAGTGTTTAGAATCTTCAAACTATCCCGTCACTCCAAGGGGCTGCAGATCCTTGGGCAGACCTTAAAGGCCTCTATGCGGGAGCTTGGTCTTCTCATCTTCTTTCTCTTCATCGGTGTGATCCTCTTCTCCAGTGCAGTGTACTTTGCAGAGGCAGATGAGCCGCAGTCTCAGTTTAGCAGTATTCCCGAGGCCTTCTGGTGGGCCGTAGTGTCCATGACGACAGTGGGGTATGGAGACATGGTCCCTACCACCATCGGAGGGAAAATTGTGGGCTCTCTTTGTGCCATTGCTGGTGTGTTGACAATAGCTCTGCCTGTGCCTGTCATTGTCTCAAACTTCAACTACTTCTATCACAGAGAAACCGAGGGAGAGGAACAGGCACAGTACTTGAACATTCCCAGTGTGCCTAAGGCCAGCTCAGCAGATGACCTGAAGAAAAGTGGTCGCAGCGGCAGTGGTTCCACTCTTAGTAAGTCGGACTATGTGGAGATCCAGGAAGCAGTGAACCACAGTGTTGAGGACTTCAGGCCTGAGACCATGAAGACAGGAAACTGCACAGTAACAAACACTAACTATGTCAACATCACAAAGATGCGCACGGATGTATAAAGTCAGCTGAGTTACAGGCCATGAGCTTGATCAACTGGGATCCGAAGTACACAAGTGTGCAGGCCAGTGAAAGGCATACACAATGTATGGAAACCTGGAGCTGATGTGGAGGTTAACAACATTCTCTTGTATGAGAATGTAGTTATGTGATTGATTTGATATGGAGACGGTCTCCAGGGCCCGTCCTGGACTGAAGAGCAAAGAACTGCCATTTTATTAATGACATTATTTGTGTCTGCATGAAGTTACTCTTAATTGTGTAACTGTGGTCATTCTGCCTCGCAGTAGCCAGATAGTAGCTCAAACAGTAATAACCTACTAACCTAACCAGACATATTGGGACCACTAGTCGCTGCCTTCTGCTGAAACTGCCCTGACATGTCGCTTAAGAAACAATTATTGATGTAACTTAATTAGAATATGAGATGATAATACTGTATACAAAGGTCATTTTATGTGTCTTTTCTGTCATACCACTACCAAGGTCCTCACACAGAAGCAGGCCAGACAAGTGTGACGGGATCACAGCTGTGTGTGAGAGGAACTGCTCTGAAGCAGTGTGTTGGATCTGTAGGGGTCCAGTGCTCACGCAGTATGATCCAAACTTAATGAGGACATGGAGAAGAAAGACATGCTTGGACATGTAGGGTACACAAAAGGAAGCCTAGTTCTTTAATACTTTTAAGCGGGCTTATATTTTCTATATTTACAAAAAACAACCTTTGTTTACATAATGAGTGCACATTCATTCTTCTGATCGTGTCTATCATTTAACATCTGAGTGCCTATTTTTCTTTTAGTATATATCTTAAACATTAGCTCTGTCCTTTCTTTTTCTCATTTGGTCAAAGCAATAATTTTGTGAACAATATATTACATCGGAAAAAACTGTCTTCATGTTATGCCATATAATGCTTATATATATATCAGCACTCATTGACATGTCTTAATCTGTAGGAATTATTAAACACCATGTCCCCTTTGGGATTTTATACAAATATACTGCCACCTGCATATCTTACCAGAAGATCATGTTTACATGTTTAGTGTGTTTAGTCTAATGCTCGCACCATTCCATGCATTGATATTTTAAACAGTTGTGGTGCTTGAAATGCGTCAATGTCCAAATGCTACATTAAAACGCAAGCTTTTGTTATTGCTGCATGTAGAATAGCCATTGTAGCATGCACTTGGAAATACATAACAATCTGAAATATATACCCATGTTACATGCTTTAGCCTTCATGCCAGTCAGGTCCCATGTTCAGTATACTGTATATAAACCCTGCCAAATTTACAATCATTACAAACTATTGCACAGATTGTATCTTGAAACAGTTTCCACAATTCACAGATCAGGTCATGTCTGAAGCACAACAGCACTGGCGGTGAGTCTAAAGTATTTCGTCCTGTTTTTCTTATTCATGCGTGTGTATAAGCGGGACAAGAGGGAATAGAGGTACTTATGTAGTAAGACACTGAACAACCTGGTGCTCTCTGCATGTATTAGTGCGGTTGCTCTAAGAGGCTGTGATGTTCTAAAGTAGCTGAAGCCATTTGTTGAAAATAGATCTCTACCTGTATGTGAATGCAATGGTGTTTAAGGCAAACACTGACATAACAGGACACAACTTTGACACTAACACTGCCCACAGAGCTCTATCTCTTCTTTTGAGACGTGAGCTAATTGAACTGCCACAGCAAAGCACTTACCTGTGGACGGCTGTTGGACTGTCATCCTTATCTAGACCAAAATTCTTCTTTCACACAAGTCAAGGTATGCTATTATATATAACCACATCCTTGCGTCCGAAATACAGCGCTACAAATGTATTTGTTATAATAGGTTTCAGGAAGTGAATGGACTTAAGCCACAGTATTTTGGAAACGTGGCCAAGCACTATAGATGTGTTAACTTACTGTCTGCTATAAAACTATCCTTCTGCACTCCCTCTATTGCTTTTTCAAACTAATCCATAAATAAACGCTGCATTGCTTGTGAAGTGTGGTCGATGTTTAGTAATGTTACTGGGTCAAAATGTGTGACTGTGTTTTTAAGTTCATATTTGTTTAATTTTATGTTAATTTTACATTTTGAATGTCATTTTGAAGCACTTTAAGTGATCCAGATGCTTGGATAAAAACATACAAATGTGTGTGTGTCTTTTGCTGAAAGTCATGTTATTAAAATGAAATGATCAGCTGTACTCTCAAAGTGGTTTCAAACAGCAATTAAACTATGACAATAATATTGTGTATAATTATCAAATTCAATGGTGATATTGCGGACAATAAACATATAAATAATAATTATTGGGGAGCTTAAAGATTGTTATAAGTCCGTCCAGTGAATAAATTGTCCTGAGCAGCAGTGGCAGCCTCTAATGCTGGTGCTTTCACGTCCATTACAGAGGTATAGTTGAATTGCCTATCGACCTTCACCTTCTCAGAGGCTCGGTGCCCTATTCCTCTCGCTAAGTGAATCTTATGCTCTCTGCGGTTTACTCAGAAAGCAAAGTGCTTTATTTATAAAGGCTCTGACAAAGAAAGTGAGGATAAGAGCCAGTGGGTAATGGTTTAAAAGTATTTTACAATTCAGGTTTTGCAGTTGCAACTGAAGTCAATGACCATGTGTTCTGAGGACTGAAAGGACGAGACTGTGGATACAAGCAAATGAAAGGCTCTGCAGGGCGGCTGGCGCTGCCTAGACATAGCAGACGCATAGAAATTGATTATTTTCATGTGTCCAAAGGCCTGTCATGTTCTTTCATCACCAGTTTTTGTTCAGGTATTATTTAACATTATTTGTTTTGTCCTTGATGCTACCATATGAATTGAGTTCATTCTTTTTAAATGATGTATATAACTTGCTTCTTGCTAAGTCAGAGGTATAATTTCCGATTATGATTAAAACATTCAGTATCTTTGTACACAGTATGCAAACCTTCCAGTTTCTTCTTTATATTTGGTTACATTTATGGAAGATGCTTTCTGTGATGCTTCTATGGTGCCACACCCTGTTTTTCTCTCTAGAAATTGCATTAATTTGTCTGAAAAGTCTCCTCTCTTTGTGGAGTCAAAAAGAAAGAATGTTGTATGTTGTAATTGTTTTATAGTCGTTCAAGGTATGGCTTGTAACAAACTAAAATCTCCTCTGATAAAGGCATCACCCCACCATGGAAGTACTTACACATTAACAAAGGATGCGGATCATAGATGCAGAACATACTTGAAGATAAGAAAATTCATACAAAATTCTATTCATAAAAGGTAAATTATTTGTCTCATCAGTTTTGTTCCAATCAAATGAAGTGTCTCCTGCATGACCGACCTATGGCCGCCCTCTCATTTCAACGGTTGTCACTTTGATAGAGTGAAGATTTGTACTTATATGTTTGAAGCTGTGTAAGTGAAAAGCTCTTGTGTAGGGAGCACTTGTGCACGTTTCTGTGGAGCTGATTTATAACCTAATGCACATCCCAGTTAATGGCCTGTCCAATGGAGCTTTCTTTATAGCAGAGCATGTTCGAGGGGGTTCTGGCTGTCTATCCATGGTCTACTACCACCACTGAGTGTGTGTGGGTGTGGAACAGGGGAGGGGAGGCTTTTGGATTCCCCCTACATTAGCCTGTTCTATTTTTAGCTCTCTGCAGGTTTCCTTTGTGGAAATGGGGACTGCCTCCTCCACAACTGCTGTGTATAAACATAACATTGGTTATAGTGCATGGGTAAACAGCCACAACGTACAAAAAGTCTGCAAATTCCTTGCCAAGATACAGATGCTTGATTGTGAGGGCGGAGAAAAATTGTAGGATGAAAATTGTACAGGTATAATTTGATGTACAGAAAGGAGGTGGTCACAGGGGAGCACCGGCTCTCAACGCATGAACACAACTTATGTATATAGGTTTAAGGTGTTCTGCTATCTTAAATAATAAGGAAAGACTGCCTTATAATGATTGGACTTACTGTACCTTTGTCATTGGGATGTATTTTTTTCTTTCTTTCAGTTTTATTGTATTATTTCTTTATGTAAAGAGTTAAATTCATTGTAAAGACCAGGTTGTCCATATCCAACCACAACATGGGGAACAGCTACACCTGGTTTATGGATTTATTTACAAAATCTACAAAGTCTCTATACTACCCCCTAAAGGATCAGGACTGTAATCCTCCATACTGAGTATTTTGTACAGGCCGCTCACATGAACATTAGATGATGACATGCTATCACTTATAATTAGAGTTACTTTCTTTATATTCGTAGCTTGTGCAGCTTAGTTCAGGTTTAGGCTGAACTAAAATCTTTTCTATCTTTCTTTCTGTCTTTCTGTCTTTCATTCATTCATTCATTCATTCGTTCATTCCTTCATTCTATTATGTAGACAGCCAATCCATGTCTGGTTTTTGGACTTCCCAAAATATTCACGCCATGCACATAAATAATTCATCAACCCTCATCTTCTACAGTTCCCATCTATTTTTAACCTGATGTTCTACTTCGCTGAATCATCCATTAATTCATTTTACAAAATGTGAAAAAGTAGTGATAATTTTCGATAATTGAATGACCACAAAGATAATCCTGCCCTTTTCAATTAATAAACAATAGCAATAACTACAATTCATTTTGAATGTATTTCCTTTAACATTTGTATGGATTTATTTTACATATTCTGATAGCTTTTTCTGAACAAAATGAGTTCAGTCATGTTTGGACTGAACCAAAACTGAACCAAAGGAGGATTGCTAGACTAATGAGCTAACTATTGTTGTTGTATTAGGTTCAATGAAAAGAATGTCATGCCATGTTGGCCTGTATCAACATTTTCATCAAAAATATGTGTTTAAGTTGAAAAAATATGTTCAGGCATCCAGGCCGCAGGACACTGTTTCACCAGCAGATGGAGCTCTCTTTCCACTAATCCTCGGCATTCTGCGACCCCAGACAAATGCCCCAGACCCAAGGAGGTGTTTGGAGCCTTTAATATAAGTGGGAT